GGTGAGGTTGGCAGACAGGGGTATTGATCCCGTCTGCTGAAAATCCTGCTTGCAAACACCGGGAAAACAGATACCGGGTAGAAAAGGTAACGCGAGGATCCGTAGAGGTGCCAGTAATGTAGCAGGTCTTACAGAACCGAAAGTGCCCACGGGGTTTAATAGCTGGGAGGGTGCACAGCTAAAGCTGCCCCACTCCCCGGGTGGGCTGCCGCAGCGGGGGCGGCAAGGCAGAGGGTCTGTCGTGGCACCGGGGTCCGCAGACTAGAGCTACCGCTGACACCGGGCTCAGGAAGGGGGTGTGAGATGGCTCACCGATCCTGACCGGACAGACAAGGTTAATAGGTTAGCTGACCCTAAAAACCCCAGAACCTCTGCCAAAAGGTTATGTGAGCAGCTGATTTTTGGATCTCTGCAGCCTGCGGAGGCTGTGCACCACGCAGTCACTCCCTCTGCCCCACTGACCCTATGCTGTCGCTGCCCAGCCCTGGGAGCGGGATGGGATGTCCAGGGGGGTAAACAGCCGCCAGCGCTCAGTGTCGGTGGCAGCGGTCAGTTTTCATGCATAGCAGTGGATGATAGGTGGTCTCAGGTTAAGGTCCGGGAGGAATGGGGATGTTTTATAATACATTTTTGAGTAAAGTCATAATGCTTTAACCAAGGACACGATGCTCCTTTCAGTCCTAATCCACTACAAGTGAGACATTTCATGTAGTCTCTAAAGCACCTGGGGACACTGGTTTGCATGGAGACTTGCAGGTGGGGAAGCAGCACAAATTACCCACTGTCTCCACAAACACCCTAAAAACTGCCGGTGTTGTTTGCAACAAGCACACAAACCCATATCCTGGCCACAGCACGTGGGTTGCTCCATCCTCCCAGAGAAGGGGGAAACCAAACCGTGCTCTACGCTGCCACGGGGGCTCCTGGCAATGAGCGGCGTGGGTAGGTGGGCAGGATGGTAAGGGGGAATGGGCTGGTTTCTCCCAGAGAACCATGGGGAATGAGGCTGGATGGGACTGTAGAGATCAATAGAGTGCAGGATCCTCTTTATCTGAATCAACCCTGGCACGTGTCTCTATAAACTGCTCTTAAAAAGGCAAAGGATGGGGGTTCACCGTTCCCATCAGCACTCAGCTCTAGGACATCTCTGAGCCAGGAGAAAGCATTTCCTTGTGTCTGACCTCAATCTCACCATTTTGAGGCTAAAAAATTTGCATGAGCTTACAAAAGTGCAAGAGGGGTTGTTCACGGACAGGACATACAAATACAACACCTCCTCTTGCTCAGATGCCTTTGAGATGTCAAGTTGATGGAGTTCAGGAGAGTATTCAAGGAAAGATGTGCAAGTGGTTTTGCCCTGCCCAGCTTTTACCTGCTGTCAGAGACAGGGCACCGTGCTGGGCATTGCTCTGGCTTGGCTCAGTACAACTGTTCCTATGGAGATCTCTCCTCCTCCCCTCCAAACCCATCGCTTCATGTCCCATCACAAAAGCTTCTTCACTGTTTTGCATAATACTTTGCTTTCATCTCCAGGAGCTGCCAGTGTGGTTGTGGGCCACCCCCTGGACACGATCAAGGTAAAACACTTTGAACCATGCTCTCAGGTCACCACCCAAAACCCCACCGAGGGGGAGGTGGCCTCTCTCTAGGTGGTGCTTCAAATAACCTTCACTTTCCCCATCACCTCAAGGGGGAATTTAGCCTGGGTAGAAATGTTTTTCGTAGACTTTCTTCCTCTCCAATGCTCCTTTTGAATGAGGAACGCAAAGAACTGGCTGATACGTGTCAGTTCCTCCAGTGAGGATGAATGCTGAAAATTAAACCTGGCCTTACTTAATGTGTGGTTTACCAAACAGTTTTGCCAATGTTTTATTGAACTTTGCCACAGATAAGTATTCAAAGGGCAACAGGGGAACTATATTTGTTTTGCTGCAGGCACATTTTTACCTGTTTTCCTAGCATTGGCAATGCTGGAAGGGCAGAGTGCTGAAATTGTAATCCCAGGGCTATGAGATGCAATATTTACTATTCCTGCAAGACAATTATTCCTCAGAGGGAAGTATTTAGAGATATAAGGAGATATTTGCTAGCATGATGCAGACCAGTCCACGCACATACCAACACAGCCTGACCCAACCAAGTTGACCATCACTACTGATGCAGGGATATAGAGGAAGATGCTGCTCCTTTCTCTTTTTGTACAGTGTGATAGGCAACTCTGGCCAGCTTTCATTGCTTCAGTGTGCTCTGATCTGGTCCAGGCCTTGTTGCTGGCACCAGACAGGGCTGTCTGATGTGGCAAACCCAAGAGCCAGTGGTCCTCTTTGCACCTTAGAGACCCTTGGAGGGCGATGGGGAAGAGGCAGGGTCCAGCGCAGCCCACGCCACGTCCCTTCCCTAGCCATCACAGCCATCCCCTTGCACCCAGCTGGCTCTCCTGGGATCAGGAGGGGGTCTGCCAGCCTTATCCTCTCTGAGCTGCTAAGGTGATATCAGTCCTGGGGTGCATGCAGACCCCACATGGGAGGAGCTGCAAGGCTGCCGGCACCATCCCAGTGATGGGTAGGGCCAGGGCATGGGCAGCGCAGGCAGGCTCTGCCCAGGGTTGCCAAGGCAATCCCCATCTCAGGCTGGCGGTCAGGGTGTCATTGCCAGGTTTGGGGGAATTTGGCAACAACTGAGAGGGGATCTTGTTGGGAAGCATCGAGTTTCTGGATGCCAGGAAAGAGCCAGCCCATCCTTCAGTGCTTATAAAGACAACTGTCAGGCCCACCCCTCTGTTGCCCTTGGCTTTGGACATTGCCTGGGAATACCAAGTAGGCAGACTTGTTATATTTCCAAATTTAGGGGAAGAAAAGTGGAAAGGAGAGTTTTTACACGGCACTAAGCCAACAAAGGGGCAGCTCAGTGGCATTTGCAGCCTCCAGGAGATGAGGAGTCCTTCCCCACCTGCAGCAGGAGGCAGGGCTGAAGGTAAGGTCAGGGGGGGTTATGTGGTACCCACACCACACTTCCCATCAGCCAGGCCTCCTCCTTCAGCTGGACCCTTCCCAGCATTGCAGCTTCCACCAAACCCAAGCAGCTGTTTTTTTCCATGGCCTTGCAAAACACTAAATACTTTTACATTTACTTACTTTTCATCCTCCACATTGCATTCATTTCCCCAGAACTTTCTTGTTTCCAGGTGTCACCCAAGAGCCCTGTCTAATAAAAATGTAACAAAAAGGAGAATTTTCCTGAGGAATACCCATATTGGTATCAGTTGACTTTGACAGAGATGCCAGCAGGGATTTCAGCGCTGGGTGTTAACAGCTTAGCTAAGGGGCATGGGTGCAAGGAGCAGTTCGTGAGGACACTCAGTTGCCCTCAGTTACTCAAAAAATATATTAACTTGAACTTCTAAATGCTTGGTTACTGTGTAAAAGAAAAAAAAACAAGCCCATGGAGGCAAAATGGCAATGTCTGGACTAAGCATTCAGATGAAGTCAGGAGGGAACGCAGGGCTGTGCACTGTGGTCACCCTGTCCTGGGCTGCTCAGGGTGCAGCCAACCTCTCTGCCGGTTCCCCCCCACCCCGTTACCCCCGGTGTGAGTCACGGTGTGCACCGATCTGCACCCACGACCCGGGCCTGCCTGCGTTACACGTGTGCCGCGCGAGCCATAGCCGGCATCTTCACGTACCAGCTTGTTTATGAGGGCTCAGTAAATATTCTGCTTCTGCTGCTGCCTTCTCCGTGGCCTCTGGCCAGGCGTGGAGCAGCAGTGCTCGGGGCGTGCCAATGGCTGCGTGGAGCAGCCCCGGCGTGGGGGGTGAGCCTGGGCTTTGGTCCTTCCAGCTCCCCGGCCAGGGTCCCACCGTGGCATCCCACCGGCCAGCCTCTTGCGGGGCTCTGGGTAGGGCTCTGGGCCAAATGATTGTGTCATTTGCTGTCCAAAAGCTCTCCCCAGGCACGGACTCTGGAGGACACACACTCCTTTGGGCTTTACACTCCCAAATAAAATTCCTGCTTCGCCCTGGTGTAAGTCAGGGCTGAGCCACTGGAGGGGACCGGCAACT